GATCCCAGTCCTTTTTAACTGATGGACAATTGTTATGTTAAAAGGCGTAACAGCCTTCCTATATCATTCCACGGCGTTAAGGTGAATTTGCCCCCCCACCCCCCGGGTGGGATTTCCAGAAGCGCTCAGTGTTGGCCTAACTCTGCTCCCATTGAAGTCAATGGTAAAACTCCTCAATTATGCCACTGCTGAGTGCTTCTTAAAACCCAACCAGTAAATGTCTGGTCAGCTGTGCCATCTTGGGTGGACCAGCAGGAGCGTAATACTGACAGTGGCAATTTGTTCCCGGCTCCCCTAACTTTCACCCACCAGGCTGGGAACTATTTCCCAATTTCCTCTTAAATCCTAGCATTTCTCCCCTTTGATCTTGTCTGCTCCTTAGTCACAGTTACTGGATGCTGATGTGCAATTGAGTTGTCGCTATCTGGAGGTGTTAGATGGAGTCAAGCTCATTCTATCTTTAAAGTGATAGAATTTACATTTCTGGGGTATAGTTTCCTCTCACCAGTATTTTCCCAATGTATGGAGTACTGTCATATTAGAGTCCATGTGTCACAGGGAGATTGCAGGAGAGCACACAGCCAATTGGACATCCTACCTTCCCTCCACCCACACAGCCCAAAGGCCAAGGATGATTCCCCCCTCTTCCATACCACAAGGAGTGGGATCTGGGCTCTTGGTTGTCCCTTCACTCCTGGAAGTCGGGAGGGGCATTTGGCTCATAAACCACTGCAGAACCACACTTCCGAATCTTATAGAGCAGGGGCAGAGAAAACTTTGCCAGTAAACGAAATGCCTGGAATTTTGAATATTTGTGGACTATGTGTATATTTGTTGCCCTGAACACTTTATATAACAATCCAGGAATATTAATCAAAGCCAGGAATTCCAGGCCCTGCAGTTAGTGGAAAGCCTAGATTAAGAGAGGAGTTATAGATCACACTCTAAACATGACCAGGCTTAGGCTTAGACATATTTCAAGCAAGAGCAAAATTCCTGAAGTAAGGCGCTCACCACCAGCAAGGCTCTCTCATTGGCTTCACAGGCAGTAAAATTTTTGGTTTGTTTTTGGTAGTTTTGCACCTTTAAATGGAGTGTTTGATCAGAAGAAGATACTCGAAAAAAATCAAATTCCAATTAATACAATTTGTAATTAACAGGCCAGATACAAGGCTGCTGCTAGCATACACTAAGGAGCAGTACTTCCAGGAAGGGGAGCTCTGGAAACTCCATCAGGAGGACCACAGCCAGCCAATACACCCTCAAATATGGAAGATGGCCTAGCACTGATCCTATGGAGCACTGACTAGAAGTTAAAGCTGCCTCTCCTAGAAATAGGGTAGTCAAATCCCCATCATGGGGAGCAGCTGCCTCGCGTGGAGCAGTGGTCGTATGAAGTTCTCTGTTTGTCTGTGGGTTGTTGTCATTACTTTAAGTTTGACTATTCTCCATAACCATCCGGTTATTCAAGATTTGTCAGAAATTATTAGACTCTTTGCCTAGCTAGTCTTCTCTCAACTGATCTTTGATGCTTCAGACAGATAACCTCCACTTCCCATGGTGGAAGGGGGAATTCTTCCTGATCCCCACAAGTGAGCATCCCATGCCCCGAAAAACAAAATTTCTTGTCCTTATCTGGATTTGCTTAGCTAAACATTAGGTACAATAAGATTTTCCAGCTCCTTGATACCTAGGAGCAATTTTGCCTTGACAGACCACTGTAGAATGATGATGGGGGTCGTGTTTCCTTTTTTTTATTCTAAATTTACTGCCCTTTAATTTCCAGAGTCTCTTTGTTCTCATAACAAGTAACATAATAGAAAGACAGAAGCCACATATTTCCACTGTATCCTCCATAATTTTAATGCCTTTATAAATATAATATACTGTACCAGAGATCCATTAGGGAGTTACCATCACTGTAGCCACTTAATGAGAAAAACTGTCAACCACAGCTTAAAGAAGCACAAAATGTAATTATAGGAATCCACAGCCACTCAAACCTGCAGTACTCGCAAGTACAACAGAGGTTTAAAAGGCCTCAATTACCTTCCCAAAAAATTACTTACAGCAAGACTGTCAAATGCCTAACACACCTGTGCATGGTAGTTTCTCTTCTCCTCTGTGAGAGCTACCAGCACTGCAGGTCACAGCATCCAAGGATATGTCTACACTGCAGTAAAACATCCACAGCTGGCCTGCGTCTGCTGACTTGGCCTCTCAGGGCTATATAATTGCAGTGTAGATGTTCGGGCTCAGATTGGAGCCCCTCCCTGGGCTCAGGGACCCTGCGAGATGGGAGGGTCACAGAGCCCAGGCTCCAACTTGAGCCCGAACATCTACACTGCAATTTTATAGCCATGCAGCCAAAGCTTGAGGCAGCTGACATGGGCCCATTGCAGGGTTTTTTTTACTACAGTGTAGAACATATCCCATGGGCCACTATTGCCCCTTCCACCTAGGTGGGCAGGCCGGGGTGAAGAAAAGACAGTGCCTTAAGTCTGTCCCCCAATGTGTACACTAAGAGGAATGAGACCTGCTGAAGGGCTGGCATGAGTTTCTTCCCCCCTACCCTGAAGCAAGTGGGGAACCAGGGAATAAATTAGGACTGAGTCACAATTCACTCTCTAGGCAACCTCTTATCCAGGGCAGATTTTATTGTCAGTCTAGTCACCAATTTGGCAGGAAGATCTGTCAGAGCCTAAATATCCAATGGTGAAAGGACAGGGTGGCAAAGGTGTTCCTTTTAAAACTAGGGCTGTCAAACGATTTAAAAAATTAATCGCGATTAATTGCAGTTTTAATTGCACTGTCAATAATAGAATATCATTTAAATATTTTTGGATGTTTTCTACATTTTCAAATATATTGATTTCAATTACAACACAGAATGCGAAGTGCACAGTGCTCACTTTGTATTATTTTTAATAATCTCAATCATGAAAGTCCATTACAGGTAGGACCCCATAATGTAAACAAACTTGTTCGCCTTAGCGATTGGCTGAACAAGAAGTAGGACTGAGTGTACTTGTAGGCGCTAAAGTTTTATTTTTGAGTGCAGTTATGTAACCAAAAAAAAAAAATCTACATTTGCAAATTGCACTTTCATGATAAAGAGATTGCACTACAGTATTTATATGAGGTGAGTTGAAAAATACTATTTCTTTTGTTTATCTTTATTACAATGCAAATATCTGTAACCAAAAATAATACAAAGTGAGCACTGTACACTTCACATTCTGTGTTGTAATTGAAATCAATATATTTGAAAATGTAGAAAATCATCCAAAAATATTTATAATAATTTAAATTGGTATTCTATTATTGTTTAACTGTGTGTTTAAAATGGCAATTAATCAAGATTAATTTGTTTTGAGTTAATCGCTTGAGTTAACTGCAATCGACAGCCCTATTTAAAACTAAAAAACCTCCCAAATTAAATCCACCACTTTCCTGACAAGAAAGAAATCCCCAATTTTCATGTAGAAAATATGTAAAACTCAGTGGTTTACGTGCCCCCTTCATTCACTTGCTCTACAAAAGCCAGCCACTGTTTCCTGAATTTTGTTGTCATCATGGTGGAAAGTGACGCATAAACAGTGAACTTATATAAAATAAGGTTTGAAATTAAAAACAAAAAAACGTTAATTGCAATCCTGTCATGAACTGCAGGAGGAGAAAGAAAATCACAAGAAAGAAAAATACGTCTAGAAAACAAAACAGATTTATTTACAGCAGAAGTTATTAAAGAATATAAAGTAGAAACCAAAAATGTAAACAGATGTTATGTGTGTAAGGCTTGTAGAAGAACACACGAAAGCACATGAAGATCTGGCAACTATATTACCCTTCCAACTGATCCAGACTCAGAGGTGAAATGGGGACAGACACATGGATAGAGTTGAAGCAGCAGACTGCAACTTTTATTACTCAAACACAAGGGAGGGGCGTGACCCATACTCTCCTATACCAGGCATTTAAGTGGTTCCACTGCAGGAGTTAGGGGGCTCCTACCATATACTCCATAATTCGGGGTAGGCTCTCCTCAGCCAATTCCCCAGGACTCAGCTTGCTCTGAGTCTTAGCCCCTCCCCCCAGATGAGGGGGTCAGAGGATGCCAAAGGGTAAGGACTTTGTCCCATAAGGGCCACAAGATCTGACCCTATGCCATGAGCCCAAGGCCCATCAGCAAAATCCCAGGTCTTTTTCCTCTGGGCCCATTCATTGTACCCTTTTAACTGCACTGGAAACCAGCAGTAAATTGCTACAAATTAACAACTCTACCAAGTACATCAGTTAGGTACTAAGCGCATTCCTACTTAACCCACTGTGACTCCAAGATGCTGAAAAGAAGGCAAAAATGCTCCCTGGGTTTCTGCCAATTGGCCCTGTGAAAGGTAAAATTCCATCATGGTCCCCAAACAGGCGACAGGCTAGACTCACAGCATCTGCCAGGCCAGATTCCCATTTCTAGTTCAGGGTGGGTAGGGCAGGCTTCTGGAATGGAGCCGAAAGAGGCTCTGCACTGCCTGTGCTCCATGTTAAATCCCTGGAGCTGGGCTAGGCAGATCAGTGCCCCTCTCCATCAACCGGTCAATGGGCGCCAGAGACTCCAACAGACAGGGAGGAGCTACATGGAGCCCCTCAGTGAGTGTCTCCCTCCCTCGCTGCTGGGGCTGTCCCTCTTCGCCGCTGGCCCCATCAAGTTCCCCCACCAGTTGATGCAGGCAGGTAGCATTTTTATCTCCTGTTTTTAACGTGTATTTTATCATCTCGTTTTTGCAGAACACTAGCTGATGTAACACACAGAGTAAATCTTTTCAAATGGATATGCCAACTGGTCATTTCTCTCACTGGTTTTACTTGCAACTGGACAGGAAAGGAACAAAATAAATGACACAAAATCTTAAAAATCAAAACCAAAAAGAGTAATTGTCCATTCATACCCAGCTATGCCACAGATTTACTATTAACAGCGCGACCAGAAGGAATTCACATACCTTGTGACCTCCTGCTGCAGTCGGGACACATTGGGCACATAGAACATTACCCCAAAGAAAAGCAAAGGCTCATTGGCAAATTTGTCCAGCTGTTTCTTCAGAGGTTTTTCCAGTTCTACCCATCGTGCTTGCTGGCTCTTGCTGAGAAACCAAAGGCCAAAGTAGTGTGTCTAGATAAAGAAGTAAAATAGAGACAGTTTATTTTCTGAGCCAGTTTACCAAGCCCACACACAACTGAGGTCATAAATACAAATAAGAATGGAAGGCAATAGTGTGTCAATTTTCCCAACCCAGATGCAAGCCCAAAGTTGTCTTTTGCTTTCTCTTTTACTTCTTAGGACTAATTTGAAGAAGATGTCAAATAATTTTTGAAATACAGTGTACATCACAATGCAGGATCAGTGCTTTTCACTACAGCAGTCGTGTTAGTCTGTATCCGCAAAAAGAACAGGAGTACTTGTGGCACCTTAGAGACTAACAAATTTGTTAGTCTCTAAGGTGCCACAAGTACTCCTGTTCTTTTTGCTTTTCACTACTGTCTATACAGGGTTGAACGTTAAGGATATGTCTACTCAGCAATTAAACACCCACAGCTGGCCTGTGTCAGCTGACTCAGGCTCACAGGGATTGGGCTGTGAGGCTGTAAAACTGCGGTGTAGATATGCATCTGTTGCAGAAAAAGTAGATGCCAACTGCTAAGTTGAAAAATACCTCTTCTATAGGAGGGTTTTGAGAGGGGTGTGGTGGTAGTCCTTTCCCCCCCCCCACCCCCATCTAGCACAATGAGATACAAAGAATCTACACATGGAACTTTAGGATTAAAATAAAAGATTTTATACACATTAAGACTTTTTTCATGAAGTTTTGAAAGGTCTCGAATTCTTTCTGTATCAATATGAAAACACATTATAACAGCTCAATTCCCCCCCCCCCCCAAACAAATGTTTTCTGGCCAGCTCTAGTACTAATAAGCCCTTAAAGTGTGATGTTAGCATGTGTTAGAAATCATCGATATTTCTGTCTAAAAAACACATGAAGACAGTATATCTACTGTCCAAGAAATTCCATGTCATGTACATAAGGCTGGTGCCATATGGAACATAAGGCAATTTTTAGAAAACTCTGGAAGAAAACTGTACCAACTTTTTTTTCACTACAGCTCTTTGTATGTGTGTGAAAGGTACCAAACTGAATTCTAGCAACATGTTCTCTTTCTATCCACAAAATGGGTACACCAGGGGTAGTGCCATCGCAAACTTCCCCTCACAGTACCACTTTGAAGTACAGTTCATTGCAAGTGCTGCTTCAGTCACTACTGGCCTCTTTGCTGAAATAGTTTACAGTGTTGCAATTTCTGCTAGTTGTGGCTGTGGGTTTTTTAATGTGGATACTTGTCCAATGAAAACTGGTGATCTGTGTGAAATGAGCTATTTATCTTAATCCAAAGAGCCATCAGAGGGTACCAACTTTTGGGAATGATATATCTGGGCTTGTTCTGAATCATTTGCCTAGAGATGAAAGGCACTCTATTCCGTGACAATACCCAGAAGGCAGAGTCTCCGTACTTGTGAATTATAAACCTTGCTATACAGGAGGTCAGTAATCTTCAGGTTGTTTAATTCCTTTAGCATTATAAAATATTTGAAAGTGTCAAGAATTAATGCCTCAGTGAACTTTCTTTTCTTTTAAGTCAGGTAGCTGAGATTCAGTTAATTGGTACAACTTTTTTATGAGTCATTTATCACATACATAGAAAACTACTCTGTGCACTCACAAGTGTATCCAGCCTTTCAGTTTGTGACTTACTTCTCCTCCCTTAAAGCATTTAGCATATCACTTCTTCTACATTCCATAAATGCCCACTGTACTTTCCACCTTTTCTTCCACAGGTCATCATTCAATTATCTGAGATGCATACTGCCCTTGGACTGCCTGTTACATCTACCAGAACATGCCAGAAGTTTAGAAGTCAGAGGTGAATTCACTTCATTTTCCTTGGAAAGTTTAAAGTAGTTCAAAATGTTTGATTTTATTTTTTCTTAGTTTTTATTCCCAGGGTAAAATGACTTCTGCTGTTCAAAGCCTCTTATTCACAGTGTTTATATTTTTTTCCTAGCCTTTGAATAACAGATGTAAACTTTAGACTACAAATAATCTTGGTTATTTGGGTGATTTTTAAGATCGCTGACATTGGAAACTTCAATCCAAGATGACACAGATTACTGCAAGCCCTTTAATAACTTGAAAGTTCAGTACAGTATCTTCAGTAAGGCCTGTGTCATTTCATGTTGAATGTGAACTAGTTAGTTTCAAGAGTTCATGTATTAAAAGATTTCTTCTGAAAGGTGGTAAAATTACTATACTTTAGTCTACTCCCACACATTCCTTTTCCTTGCAATCTCTCCTCTCCTCCCACCTGCAACTAAATCTAATCTAACCTAGCAATGAATTAGTAAGGAAGGAACATTCATTTGATGATTACATATATGGAATGATTATGTAGCAGGAAATTAGTTTTAACTGTGTGATTATTATTTTTTTAAGTTTATACTTTCGGATGCATTGTTGCGTCTAAATGTTTTATTCTGCCCATTCCTTTAAAATCTTGATGGAAATTCTACATTGATTTTAAACAAAACAGGGACCGTTTGCCTCACCTTACCAAACAACAGTAAAGAGTAGGGCAGAAGTCATAATTTTCAAACAGCCTTGCCTATAATATGCATCGTATTTTACATTTTTATTTAAATACACTTTTCCATCAGAATTTGAGGTGGTTGGAATTTTTCTTTAAATAAAAAGTTGCAAAAAGTTCCAACATTTTCAACATTGTTTCCATTTTACAGGGTTTAATATACTTTTTAATATATTTCATATATTTCTATTGAAATTTTTATCAAAGACTTTATTGAAATGTTTAGTTTTACTTTAAACTGGGTACCAGTATAACCCTTCCTCCTATTGTTCTCTACTAATGTACCTCAACCCTGACGTGGAGGGACCCCAACTATAGGGATGAAAGGGCAGAACATTTCAATATCTGTTCAGTTGTTGGCCTCTTAGAATCATAGGGTTAAAAGAGACCGCAAGGGTCATCTAGTCTAACCCCCTACCAACATGCAGGATTTGTTGGGTCGAAACCATCCAAGACAGATGGCTATCCAGCCTCCTTTGTGAAAACCTCTAGTGAAGGAGATTCTACAACTTTCCTAGGCAGTCTGTTCCACTGTCCTACTGTTCTTACAGTTGGGAAGTTTTCACTGAGGACAAGTCTACCCAGGGACACATAACAAAGGTGAGCCAAATTAACTGAAGGTGTGAAGTTAAAGTGCATTAATGCACTTTACATGGTGGGTTCAAAGATATAATAATCAATTCATTAAAAATGAACGAGACCTTTATTAATACAAAACTTTGTTGTAAAGGCTTAAAAATCCCACAACTTTAAGTTTAATAAATTTTTGCTATACAGTAGTACCTCAGACTTACAAACACCTTGGGAATGAATGGAGGTTGTTCATAACTCTGAAACGTTTATAACTGAACAAAACCTTATAGTTATTCTTTCAAAAGTTTACAACTGAACACTGACTTAATATAGCTTTGAAACTCTACTATGCAGAAGAAAAATGCTGCTTTCCCTTTATTTTTTTAATAGTTTATGTTTAACACAGTACTGTACTGTATTTGCCCTTTTTTTTCCCCTGTCTCTGTGGCTGCCTGATTGCAAATGAAGTGTGTGGTTGACTGGTCGGTTCCTAACGCTAAACTTCTACTGTAACCTGCAGTCTATAATAGAGACGTCCCTACTCATTTGTCAGACAGCATGGTGGGAATGCCTGGAGGAGAAAGGCTAATAACACCTATTGAAGTAATTAACTTAAATCAAAGGAATCTAGTGACTCAACACTGATTGGTATATTCAGCTATAAAGCCAAGTATAAATTGAACTTTAAGCAAGAGGAAGAGTCCCTGCTGCTTTAGCCATAAAGCATCAGCATACCTCTAATAGAAGAGTTCCCCCTAATCCCATGCTAGGATATCAGTTCAATACTGATTTAGAGGGGAGATCACCACTTACGGTACTACAGCTGCTTGTTCTTGGAAGGTTCTCCCATTCATGTACTGATTGGGTATAATCCTGTTTAGTCTGAGACTGAGACAAGTCAGACACATTTGAGGCAGTAGGACTGCAGAATGCAGGACTTCCTGTTATGTCCAGCCAGTACTTGGATGGGAACTCTTCAAAGAAAAGCCCAGAGTACTGTAGTAAGAGGTGCTGATGATTCAGTAAGTAGCACTCTTCCCTCTGCCTCAGTACTGAACCAGTGATCCATGTGAAGTTCTGTGGCACCATATGGTGCTAGAGGTGCCATTTTTCTTACACCCAACCCCATTATGCCTGGCTACTGAGAGTAGCATAATATCAAGGTAAAGTTTGCAGTGCATGCTTAATATCAACCAACTAATCTATTAATCAGTTAAAAAGTGCATTCCTGATTTTCATATCCTTAACCAAAATAAAAAAGAAACAGTTTCATAGCCAGCTAGCACAGCAAAATTCTTCTGTAATAGTTAATACAGATACTCCTCTCCAATAAAAGAACTGGTGTAAGTCCTATTATGCTAAATTCCTCTGTGTGTGTGTGTGTGTGTGTGTGTGTGTGTGTGTGTGTGTGTGTGTGT